CATTCTCTAGGACGCAGCGTCCCGTTCCACTGTTTGGGAGCAGCATAATTTATTTAAGTGTCCCCTACTGAAAGGCATCTCGTTGGAGCCAATCTGGTGCTGTTATCCAAAATGCCGCAGCAATGCCACAATTAGGAATCTCTGAATTTACTCCATTTTGTACCTGTTTGAGTGTATCTGCGGGTTCAATTCCTAGAAGAGAAGCACTGGGCCTAAGAAAGGACGGGTGCATTTGTAATTTGGGGAAGTACAGTTGTCACACTGCCCTTCCCCTGGTAGGTGTCCGTTGCTTTCTCTTGCCGGCTCCATATGAGTGGACCACTTTCCCTGCGCTTTCAGCAGTCCGATCTGCACCAAAACCTTCTTTTGAAGTTTTGTCAACCAATGAGTAAAGAACATTAACTTGTTTATTTTATTTTAAGATTTTACTTATTTATTTCAGAGAGCGCACACGCATGCAAGCACAAACATAAGCAGAGGGAGGAGCAGAGGGAGAAGCAGACAGGCTGTGAGCAGGAAGCCTGATGCGGGGCTCGATCCCAGGGCCCTGGGATCATGACCTGAGCCAAAGGCAGACGCCCAACCAACTGAGCCACCCAGGCGCCCCTAACTAGTTTATTTTTTAAAAAAATATTTATGCTGTGGAATGTGGCTTTTATAAAGTGCCCATCTATGTCTCTTCTCATACAGTTTGGCTTGAATTGGACTTTGAGGTTAGGATTGCATACCTGCTTTCTTATTGCTTCCATTTTTCTTAGAAATCTTTGTCCATCCCTTGCTTTCAAATTAAGAGATTTTATTTATTTATTTATTTATTTCTTTGGCCAGTGTCAGGTTTACAGAAAGACTGAACCAGAAGTACGGATTTCCTGTCTACCTCATCTCTGCCCCGCCCCACCCCGCCACACAGTTTTCCCTATTATTAACAGCTCACATTAGTGTGGCACATTTGCTAGAATGATTGAAGCAATATGGATACATTATTATTAACTAAGTCGCAGTTCACTCTTTGTGTTTGGGGTTTGATCTATGCATAATGTCATGTATCCACCATTACAGCATCATACAGAATAGTTCCACTAAAAATTTCCTGGGCTCTGCCTGTTCATCCCGCCTCACCATTCCCAACCCCCGCTAGCTACCAATCCTTTTTCTGTCTCCACAGTTTTGCCTTTTCCAAAATGTCATCTCGTTGGGAATCAAACAATATGTAGGCTTTTCAGATTGGTTTCCTTCTTGTCCTCTGTGTCTTTTAAGGTCGTCTGTGTCTTTTCATGGCTTCATAGCTCATTTCATTTTAGCCCGGAGTAATATTCCATGGTCTGGATGTACCACAGTTTCTTAATCTGTTGCTATCGAAGGACATCTTGGTTGCTTCCAATTTTGGGTAACTATGAATAAAGCTGCTGTAAACATTCATGGGGAGGTTTTTGAAGAGACATAAGTTTTTTGATTCATGTGGATAAATACCTAGAAGCATGTTTCCTGGGTTTTATGGTAAGTGTATGCGTAACTCCTGTTCTCCAAAGTGGCCAAACCATTGTGCATTCCCATCAGCACTGAAGGGGAGTTCCCGTTGCCATCCATCCTTGACAGCATTTCGTGTTGTCACTCTTTGGGATTTTAGCCATTCTCATAGGTGGATAGTATCTCATTGTTGTTTTATTTTGTAATTCCCCAATGACATGATATTGAACGTCTTCTCACATACTTATTTGCCATCTCTATATCTTCCTTGGTGACATATCTGTTCAGATCTCTTGCCTTCTTTTTAATTGGGCCATTTATTCTTTTATTGTCAAGTTTTAAGAGTTTTTGGTATATTGCAGATATACCTTTACCTGATATTTGGTTTGCAAATATTTTCTCCCAGTCAGTGGCTTGTCTTTAACTTGTTTACTGTTAATTTGCAGCTTCTTCTGTCTGAAGGAGGTTGAGCACCTTTTCATATTTTAAGGACTATTTATATTTTTCTTTCTGTGTATTATACAGTCATATTCTTTGCTCTTTTCATGTTCATGACTTAACAGACCTAACAAAAGCTAACCATTATTTGATAAGTTGAGTCATTAATATGAACACTGATTGCTACACTATTACCATCACTGTCCAAGTTGTTTTGCTCTCTTGGGCCTTTGTATCTGTCTTTTATCCCCCTAAGTTTCCTCTTTTCTCCCTAGGTTTTAGGATGAGCACCATTATTTTTTTGCTTTCCTTAAATGTCTGTCTTTCAAAATCCCCGCTCCATCTTGTAATTGGGTTTCTGATACTTAACCAGTAAAATTCGTTATAATCGCCTGAGAGGCCTGATTTGTGAGTCAAGCTCGTAGGCCACACAGCACATATACTTTAGACATCCATTTTGGCCCCCCGGGAGTCTTTATTGTGTCCTGCTTCTTGGCCTTCTTCAGAAGATTCAGAACCATCCAGCAAGTGAATTTCTAGTTCTAGCATTCTCTGCTAGGACATCGGAAGGTGTTCACAGGTTAGAGCCCTGAGTTATGAGGGGGGCTCATGTGCCCCTATGTTACTATACACATAAATATGACTGCCTTGAATTGGGGAGTTTGTTCTCTCACTCTCTAATACAGCAATATGAACTTGTACTTCTGGAAAACTTTAAACAAATGGCTTTGCAAGGTCTTTTGCCGTGGAGGGTCCTGCAATGCCTGTGCTGGAAATGTGCGTGCACATTTCCCACATTTCCACGCGGCTTTGTGCCTGCAGTTCCCGGGAGTTACACAGAAAGGGGACCCACTGCTGTGGCAGCCCCGCTCCATCCCATAGATGGCAGTACACACACTTTTTAGCACTCATCTTCATCTTCCTTGGAATTGGGCTCCTTCAGGGAAAGAAAATGCAGGAACTGTGGAGTAATAATTAGCCAACAGAATCTAGTCATTTGAAAAATTGGCAAGAAGCCTTATTAAAGGAGGTAATAATAGTCATATTTTGCACTTCTAATGGGGCTTTTTATCTCTAGGTCTCCAAGAGCTTGTCTGAGTCATGTAAAGGAAAACAAAACAAAACAAAACAAAACAAAACAAAAAACAAACCAAAAACCAAAAAACCGGAGCTAGGTCAGAAGTCAGGAAACAAGGGGTCTGTTTGACATTCTGGAAGCTTCTCTCCTATCACAGTGAAGGTAGAGTGTCTTTGATGCATTGAAACACCAGGAATTGATGCCGGTTAGAAAAGGAAAGGCCACAATGTACTGTAAGATAAACTCCACATTCCCGGGGAATACGGAAAACATGCCTCTCTCTCTCTCTCTCTCTCTCTCTCTCTCAAGAGTTGTTTTTCTGTGAAAATAACAATAGCGCTTTAAATACTTTGCCTCCCATAAACACACGGACAGCATTATTACTCACAGTGAGCTAGACAAATTGAGAAAGAGTTTTTCTAACCTCTTTCACGTATCAGGGCCTAATTATCAGCACATCCTTGTATTTATTCCTATGAGACTGGAAATAAATACTGCTGCTGATGGATATCAGTCCTGTGAACTTGGTATCATTCATTCTTTATCTCTGGCAGTGGTGGGGTAGCAGAAGTAAATGACTCCAAACGTGTACACAGCAAACGCCTGAAATCTACAAGATACGGCTGTCCTCCTTGTCCTGCATTAAACCCGCATCTTCAATTTCCCACACAAACTCCAGATCTATTGAAATCTTGGAACATTAAAATTCTCCTTCATTGTTGTCAAGGTTTAATAACTTGACAACCAGAAGACAGACTCCCTGACTATTTGAGAGAACGTAGGTTTGGAAATAAAGAACAGCTTTTCCTGCATTAAAATTTGCTTGGGGCTGGGCAGGAAGAATGCGTTTTATAATAACCATTCTTTGGCTGTGTGACTTCGACTTTGGGCAAGCGAATTAACCTCTCTGAGCATTAACGTCTTCACTGTAGTAATTCCTACCTCACAAAAGTCGGCTTAAGGATTAAATGAAATCATGAATTTAAAAGCGCTTAGCACAACACCTGCCACTCAACAGGTATTCAAAAACTCCTGGTCATTAAAAAACAGACATACACACATACAAACATACATATCTATGAGAGAGAGAGAGAGAGAGAGAGAGAGACCCAGATTTCTACTGGGCTTTCCTGAGCCTCAGATATTTAGATAAATTGCTTCAAACCCCCAAATTCTGAACCCATCAGTCATCCTTACAATTCCTACAAGTTCATGACCTTACCTCCTCTTGATTTCTTCCAATTCTTCTAAATCCAAAAGTCTCAGGTTAATTTCATACCCGGCTAGCTATTGCATGAAAACAATCTTGCCCTCTTGCACAATCTGGTAAATTGATCAGATTCACATTTGAGAAGAGTTGGGATCTTGTACCTCTCCGCTTTCTGTCCTTTTGCTGGCCTCCCCTCATGCCTTCTATCTTCCTAAAAGTGCAGGCTTGCAACGTGGAACTCACACACCTACGCAGCCCCATCCCCGGAAGGCACAGCCCCGTCCTTCTTCACCCTCTCCAACCACTTTTCAGGTAGAAAACAATTCCATCTGACCAAGTGACTTGTCCCAGCCTCCTTGAAATTCTGGAAAATATAATTTCTTCCTTCTTCTGATCTTATGGTTATTAATTCACTGTGAAACTCAGTGGTTAACAATCTCATAGATAATGCCATTTCCTTTAGACCATGGAACAATCTATTCTTATGCATTTACATGTAAAAACATACGTTTAAAGTAAACACAGTAACATTATTTATTTCATACCCCAAGAGACATAAAACAAGCTATTATTTTAACGATTACTTAGGGTTTTTTTTTCCCTTTTAGAATTTTAAATGTGTGTATACAAAGTTTTTCTGTTCATTGTATTCACCCTTTTCTGATTTTTTTCTGTACTCGGAACATATCATTTTTTCCTGGTGGCCCCGAATCATCAGTATGCATAACTGTGATGCTGCTCTGCCCTCTGGGAGTATTGATTGGGCTGTACAGGGCTATGTGCCCCTGCACTAGCTAACCTCAGTGTCATGTGTGTTTGGAGTTGCTATGTCAGGTTGTTGGGGCTTCCCCCACTCTTCAGCCTCCTTGCCTCTTTTGCTGTTACTAACGTACATTGTCTCCGGAACCAATTCTTTCCTCTGCAGTTTCCATGGGCAGATTCCAGTCTACAGATAGATGAAAACAGGAGACACATTAAGGTGGCTTCAAAGTCAAACCCACTGGCATAGGATCCCTTGTATGAACTCTCCTATGAGCGAGCCTGTGAGCCTTGCTATGTAGACCACCTTCTAGATATGCTAAGCGGCTCAGTCATCTTTTTGCTGAGCTCTTCTGGTTTCTGGCTGGACTTTAGATTATTTAAATCCTATGGAAAATGAGCTAAGAGGAGTGATAGGCTGCTGTATTGTTTTCCTATTGATCTCATTTTAAAATTCTAGATCAGGGACATCTGAGGGCTGAGATCCAGTGGAGTCCCATGGACGCCGTGTATCAGAGGACACCTGCTCTGACTGGTTGGGGCCCTGGCCTGGCTTGTAAATGTTTAATGTCACCCTGGGGGCCATACCACTCTAAGACTTAAGGAAGATCCAATATAATGAAAATCTTAAGTCAAAATATTTCCTATGAAGGCAAAAATAATCACCAAACAGAAGGGCATCCGTAAGGCCAGACTATGTTAGGTGATCAGATTCTATTCTCATTACCATGCTGTGTAGTTCAATCTAAGAAAGAAGTTTTCCTGTCTTCATGCCCTCCCTCATTCTGTCTATGCTTCTTACCTCTCTCCCTTTTTCCCTTTCTTTATAAACAAATTAGTGATTCTCTTTTTTTCTTTACAGGTGCCAGGAAAAAAATTTTACCAACATGCTTTCATTGTGGCTGAGACAAACTACTAAAACATGCCAGTAGCAAGGAACTTTTTCCTTTCTAACTTTGAGAGTAAGTATGCTAATTAAAAAAAAAACTTAATATCCTGCAGGACTTTCACAGTATGAACAGGTTTCTCCTGATTTTCACATTGTTAACACTCGAAAATTAAGCCCTCCCTACGCTCAGGAAACACTTACGACTCCTCTCTCTAGGTGTGCTCTGGGGACAAGCAAAGGGATGCTACATGATGGTCACCCGGACGTTTTCTGGCTGTTGAGCATGGTACAGAGTCAGTGTCCACATGAGGTTCTCCGAGTCCATGCTCTGTGGGTATCATTCCTGAAAAGATCCTCCCCCAGCAAGTCATAGATGTATAATCTACGTGCTTTTCTCTTCGGCATGGTGCCATAGCAATATAGTTACGAGACTGACTGCCTGGGCTAAAATTCTGACCTTAGGCAAGTCACTTAACCTCTCTGTGCCTCCATTTGTTTATCTCTAAAAAAGCAGATCATAACGGTGTTTACTTCACAGGGTTGTTTTGAAGTTCCTGGAACTGAGACATATAAAATCCTTAGAAGAAACCCCAAAACACAATAGCAGTATGTCAGTGTTTCTCATTAATGTGTTCGGAATGTGGACCGGGGCCCTCTAGAATGAGCCGGTGTAGCTGTTGCGTGGATTTTTAAGAGCTTGGGTTTTGGAGTCAATCTCATATGATTCTGGCATCTGCTCTGTCTCATCTTGGTAGCATGACCTTGAGCAAATTACTCAAGTACTCTAAGCTTTAGTTTCCTTATCTGTAGATGTGGTTAATTATAACACCGTCCTCATAGGGCTGCTATGGAAATGAAATGCATGTAAAAAACCCACAAGATGCCTGGCACATAGAAAGTGCTCCATAAATGTTAGCCAAGGAGATGTTAAGGAGGAGGAGGGTGTCAGTGACATGATGACTTGTCTGCTGAGAATTTTAAAAGGCAATTTCCATATTTCCCTTGGGGGAGTGAAGGAACACGCCAGAGCTGTTTTTTTGGGAACTGAGGGGCATAGCTTACATAGTTCTTGCCGGGCTTAGTTGGAGGACAGGCGGAGAGCAACTGAAAGCAAACTAAGGCTTGGGGCCCCGAATCTTGCAGGTGCTGGAGTTGAAACACCTCCAGAAGAGAAGTTCAGGGCTTCACCCTGCAGCCTCTGACCAACGGCAAAGCCCCCAAATAGTCCTGGTACGAGGACTCAGGTCAAAGAAGACAAGAGCCTGGAAGAAACTAGGATTCTCCTCTCTGAGCCTTCCTTTAGTCAAGCCCATTTTCCTGAAAGAGGCCAGGGAAGGATGACTGGGGTGGTTGAGCTTCCGTTCTGCTCTGGCATTCACCTTGGAATGTCTTCCTTCCTTTTCTCTGGAACATTCCTACCTTCCTTTCAAGGCCAAGTTCAAATGTCCCTCCAGAAGGTCAGTCCTCTTGAGCTGTACTGTCTGTTATGGAGGTAGGAGAGGTTGGAGAGGGACCATGAAATTTTCGGAATAGCTACTTACCGCGCTCGGATTCCTGGGATTTCTCTTTGCCATAAATACACCATGTGAATTTTCGCATCTGTGGTGACCTGTAGCCCTCCTAAGTGCCTGGAGGGAATGGGAAGACAATGAACAGATAATTAGAAGTTTTATAAGAATTTGAAGGTGTGGGGTGTCTGGGTGGCTCAGCCGGTTAAACCATCTGCCTTCAGCTCAGGTCATGATCCCAGGGTCCTGGGATGGAGCCCTGGGATGGGCTCCCTGCTCAGCAGGGGAGTCTGCTTCTCCCTCTCCCTGCTTGTGTTCTCTCTCTCTCAAGTAAATAAATAAGATCTTAAAAAAAAAAAAAAAAGATTTTGAAGGTCTAAATCAAGCAATGAAACTGTTTTCTGCCTGGTATTGATTGTGAAGGTCCCACGGCAAAATGGGAGCTCCTGGAGAATAGAGACCCGGCCTTGCTGGCTTGTGACTCTTGCCCAGCACTGCACGGTGAGCACAGGGTCTGATGCAGAAGCCGTCCAACAGTGCAACGGGGAGGGATCTCCCTGTCTACTGGAGCCCAAAACCATCTCTGTAACTATCTCCCATCTTCCAAATGCAGCCCTCTTGGGCCATGTAAATCCAGGGCACAACATGTCCTAATATGTTTCCTATCTGCAGACAACTGCCAAACTTACCACCCAGCCTCCTCTCTTCCCAAATAGTTCCCTGTCCCCGGCCCACCCCGTTTCTCTTATATCATTGTTTTGATTCCCCATTGCTTCTGGTGGCTCTCTCTAACTCATTCAAGTTCATCAACACTCCGTTTAAAATGCTGCCCACGGAACTGAACTCATTCTCCCCTCCTCCGGCCTGCTGCCCTTCTCTGCTTCCCCGTCTCTTTGTTAATTGAACCAGCCGTCATTCATGCTGGCTGCCCCGTGCTCCTCCATCTTCTCCCCCGCCCGCCTCCCGTCAGGCACTAAGTCCTATTGATTGTTCCAACTAAATATTGAACAACTCTAGTAGGTATTCAGACAGTGTGTGGTGAAGGAATATAAATGAATAAAATTCATCACTTCATATTCATTCCTGCTACTTCTGCCTTGAGTGAGAGTTTTGCTTTGCTTTGCTTTTATTTTTAAAAATTTCAAACGTACAGAAAAGTTGAAAGAAATTGTGATGAAGATCCGTATACTGTTCCCTAGATTCATCAGCTGTTTACGTCCTGCCTCAATTTCTTCATTTCTCTCTCTCCCTCCCCAACACACACACATACATGCACACGCACATGCACACACACTTTTAAAAAATGTGTTGACAAACAATTTGAAAGTCAGCTGCAGGCATTGTGACATATCATCTTTAAATACGACAGCACACATCTCCAAAGAAGTGTGAAATTCTCCTTAGGAAACAAGTTATTTCCCACAAAGAGTTTTAGGTCCATGACATCCATGAGATCCCACGCAAAATGTTGAACACATGAGCAGTTTTCTGAGAAGGAAATTCACAGCGTGCACCAGAGGCTCAAACCTCTAAACCCCCACCTCCCATCTCTCCCTCTTGAACCCAAGTAGACCAGCAATCTGGTCAGTTGTGGGTATTCAGCCCGCCTCTGGACTAAGGATAATTCAGAAGCTACCTAAAATGCATTTAATGGCTTCCTTCTATTGGCTGCATGAGAAATTTAATGTTTCTAGCGTAACACAGCTTTTGCCATCGTGATTCTGAAGACATTTTTAGTCTCGTCTTCCACAGCTCTCTGCTCCCTGAAGGAAACCGGCCACCGTCTCCACCCCGGTCATGCTCTGAGGTTCACCTCACCCCACCCCCACTTCCTACCCGGTTCCCCTCTTGGCAAATTTCTACTTCCCGTTCAAGACCCATCTCAGCTGCCACTGCCTCTGGGAAGTCATCCCCCAAACTCTCCCCAGTTGTTTCTGCCTATAATTTGTACAGTTCTATTATTTATGTCATTTACTACACTGATTGTTTCCATAGCTTAACGCTCAGTGATGTTGTGAAACACTTGATGTACAAGTGAGGAGATTCACGATGAAAGGATCATACAGCCCATGCTAACTGCCGGGACTCCCTATCCGCCTTCCACCCCGTCCTCTGAGACCCGTTTGCACCCTGACTCCAGGGGACTCTCCTGGTCTTGGACCCTAGATTTGCTTTCACCAAAGGCATTGACATCTCTCCTCTTGAGATACACTCAGCTCCTCTGATTTGGGCAGATTACCTCATATCCATGTTCCTACAGTCCCTTGGCTGTCCAAATTCAACCGCTTGAAAAGCCTGCATCCAGACATGGTAAAGATGCCACAAGAGTTAGAGGGGCACAGACACCAGTGTCTGCCCAGGCACTGAAATACCGGGAGCAGAATCAGTGCCAAGGTTCGGAAAAAGCACTAAGCCAAACTGCAGGGCTATAGCTACTCGGAATAGACTATGATGCTATGGAGGGCTGAGCTATAAAAGCTGGCATCAGGAGGGGTGACAGGTACGCTGGCTGCACCCCTGCATTGGGAGGGGAGGAAAGAGCACTAACTTGAGGCTGCGTTCTTTGATTTTTCTAGGGTGACTCCTTTATGCCTTTCCAACATTCATACTAATGCTTCTAAGCTAGAAATCATATCCTGACTTGCAAGATGGCAAGCAGCTGGCCTTTTGGCTGGAGTCCAGGTCTGAGGCCCAGGTAAGACACCTGCATTGTATTACTCCAAACAGAGTATGGTCAAGTGAAACAGAGTAACGGGTTGGAGTGGGGTGGGGGGGGCGGTGCGGGTGGCAGGGACCTTTCTGCTGTGGGTCTATTTGCATTCAGGAGTGGGTGCCAAAGAGGATTCGCAGGAGGGGATGAGGATTCAGAAGAGAGGGGTTGGGACATCCCGCCAAGCCTCCAACTTTCCCAGGGAGTAGTACCCCAGCGGCCATGGGCCTGTGCTGGGAAGCTCAAAGACTGCTAAGCTATCTGCTAATGTCAAGGCTGACCTCAGCCAGCAGCGCCCTCTTCCTCCTGCTTCCCTGGTGGGTCGGCCCCTGTGGGACGTCAGCCCATCCCATCTGCTTTCAGAAATGGGGCTGCCCCCAGCCCGTTTCCCACTATGGCTGCCTTCTTCTTGCCCAGCAGGAGCGCCTGGGCCCTGGTGAGCGATGTTTCTGAACGGATTCAATCCCCTGTGCTCCAATCGGAATGCATTACCAGGCAGGCGCGTCAGCTTGGCGATTTGGCTTCAACAATAAATCTCCTTGCTTTCATGAGTTTAAATCAGACTTTAAAACATCACCCTTAATGTTCTTTTAATGCAGTTTTCTTCTGAATGAGTTCCCTTTAGGTCCAGTCCTTGTCATTAATACACTCTCTTGGCAAATGAAGGAAGGCTTCTTCGAGGAAAACCCTGCCAGTTTAGGAAACCAGTAGAATTGCCTTGGTGATGCCAGGAGCCTCTTTTGCATTTTACAAGGACACTTGAGAAAACAAAACTCTCTGACCGTAAATTTAATTTTCTCTTGACAGCCTCAGTGTCTCTGCAGCCCCATAAGTTATCCATTACTTCTTTCTTCTGTAATTAAAAATCAAGGGGGGAAATGTACAGGATTAACAAGTTCTAATTTTCATTGATGAGCTCTAAGAGCTTATCAATAATGGGATCAGAAAAGCCGCTTCGCCTAAGCTCTATTTTTCTAGGGCGTCTGAGTTTGATGGAGAATCTCCCTTAGGGTGGAAAAGGCTGGCTTTCCAAGGAGTCCCATTGCCAAAGTCAGGAGGAAGGGGCAGGGCAGGCCGAGCGAGTCTTCAGCAGGAGTGAGCCGAGGAACGGCCTGGGCTTGCAACTTTTACAGACTCAGCATTTGGGCTCGGGGGAGCTGATTACAGGGAAAGATTAAACAGGCTGTCTTTCACACACATGTTCCTTTTCTATGGATGGCTTCTGCGGAAAAGGAGCTTGCACATATCTGCTTAGGAGGAAGAAAGATATTTCTAATTAAAAGAATGTTGGTGGTAATTCCTTTTGAGTTATACATTTGTAGATACAAATGCTTTATCAGGGGACAGGGACATCCATCCTGTTTATCACCCATCGGGATGTAGCTGAGCATGGGTTTCTCCAAGAGACACTGAGCTGATCCATGGCATCTGGGCTGCATCATTTCGAAAGCTGTGATACACAGGCTCCCAGTGAATGTGACAAGCATGTGACAGGAATGAGCTGTTTAATTGACATGCACAGGTTCCACAAAACTCCCAAACAATCAGGTTTGAATCATAAATGATTCAAGCTAGGATTTTTTTCTTTTATTGAAGAGAGGGCAAGTGAAGTGTAGATACCGTGACCGGGAGCCCAGCCCCCAGCTTTGAGGTTCTTCTGTAGGACAACCTGCTTTGCAGAAGCACAAAGGTCTCCAATATGTTCTACAGGGGTTGGGCTTATGAGTTTCAGGCAGAAATTGGATGGTTTTGTTCCCAGGCTTTCTTGCTTAGAGCTGCAAAGTTCAAGCTATCCCTGGAGACCACAGAATGCACAGGATAGCAGAAAAGGCCAGCAGCTGGGGATTCTGTCAAAGTGATACCAACTTGGTGCCTGCCACAAAGAACTTCTTAACCCAAGACTGGAGAAGCAAGGACTACTGAGTTGCCCATTTCCAAGAGGTCACCTTTTCTGGGTATCCTGCCAGCCTTCCGGCAAAGCACCCCTCCCTCCCCCAGCAAGAACAGACCTCACTGCAGCAAAGTTTAGGTGCCAAGAACAGTCTCATCTAGAGAATATTGGTGGCATTAAAACCTACTAGAAGTGATATTATATGGATAAGGTGAGAGCATCAACTCTAGCGAGATGGTTGAGTTTGAAGAGAAGGGTCAGCTCTTACCAGCTGTGTGATCTTGGGCAAATTACTTAACATCTGTGCCTCTACATTCTTTTCTGTAAGATGATTTTAGTCCCATTTCACAGAGTTATTATGAGGATTAAGTGAGTAAATACAAGCAAGTCACGTAGAACAATGTCCGGCATGTAGGAGGCACTCAACAATTATTAACAACTTAAATACTATGCCATCTAAGCATACTATTTAAATCTTACTAAAGGCAGTATGATTGGCTTCTCAGGCCTCTCCAACTC